TAGCCGATCCAGCTACTCATGTCTTAATGGTAAGAACTATTGAGTGATCACAACTGATTCGAACCATCTTCAATGGAAAACGAAAAATCAGCCACTTCTTGGCACTAAACTAAAATCAAGAGACCCAAATTATGATACTTGGGATAAAGAGGACTTGATCATAGTGACTTGGCTCTAGAATTCTATGTTACCGGACATGAGCAACACAGTTACGTTCCAGCCTATAGCAAAAGAGGTACGGGATGTAGTCAGAAAGACCTATCCTAGCGTTAGAAATGCTGCTTGGATATACAACTGACGGTCAAAACATGGTCCAACAAAGTAAGGAAACTCACTGAGTATTCTAACTTGTTGAAAAATTGTGTGGAAGGAACTGGACCAGTATTGTTCCCTTACTATGGATTATAACAAGTGTGCAATTCACCTAAAGTAGTTTTAGAAAAAGATTGTACCTACCAGTTCATTGCTGGTCCCAATGTGGAATTTGATCAAGTCAAAATCAAAATTTTAGGAAAACAAGATTTGTCATCAAGCAAAAGAAGGGTTATACTAGAACCCCGCTCCAATGACAGCTTAGCCGTGATCTCCAAAAGCCCCAAATCACGCCAGCAAGCAAACGAGTTGAGTCCCACTAAAACCCCCGTCTCTAGTGGAAAAAACGGAGACAATTTTCAATGTACCTTCTGCAAGAAACCTCGACACATCAAAGAAAAGTATCAAAAGCTGCATGAAAATCCTAATGCCTCTAGTAGATATTAGGAATACAAAAATAATTCTAAGAAGATTTAGAGATAGGCATGTATAACCCACCCACAAGGAAAGGAAAAAAAAATCCAAACCTCGATGATTTCAATGCAAAAATTGAATGTCTAAGGACGTGACTTGAGTACTTGGAAAAACTTGAAGGGAGAAGCCTCTTGGCACATTCAAATAAACTTTCTATTTCTCATGTTTTAAATGTCTCAAAGAAACCTCTTTTACTGTCATGAATTATGGACTCAGGAACTACAGACTATGTGACAGACACCTCTAAATTTTTTAATACCAATGTTCCATGTCCCAACAATAGGAAAATCATAATTGCTGATGATTCACTAACCACTGTAGCAGGAGTTGGGAACATAAAGATCAACCTTCAGTTTACTCTTATATACGTACTTCATGTCCCTAAATTATGCAAAAATCTTATATCAATAACTAAATTATCCCAGAACCTTAATTGTAAAGTGATTTTCTCTATTTCACATAGTGAATTTCATGACCACACCTCGGTGAAAGATTGCAAGTGCAAAGGCTCATAACAGGTTACACTTCCTAGATACACCTGAGATACCATGTACCACTGTTTCTACTAGCACACTAGACATAGTTATATTACAGAAGACTATGACACCCTTCTTTTTCTACCCTCAAGGTTATATTTCTCTCTTTATTTTCCGATTCTAATAACAAAAAGTTACATTGCGATGTATGTGAACTGACAAAAACGCCGGTATGTAAATTTTTTCCTTAATAATAAAAGAAACAATTTTCTTTTTACTTCGATTCTTGGTGATATTTGGGGTCGCTCAAATATTCTTAATATTTCTGGAGCTCCATGATTTGTCCCTTTTATTTATGATTGTACTTGGATAACTTAGCTTTTTTAGTTGAAATCTGAATATGAACTCAGTCATATTCTTTCCCAGTTTTACTTGATGATCCAAACACAGTTTAGAGTAAAAATTAAATACTTCCCAACCAATATTACCCGAGATTATTCTAACTAGACATTATCATCCTTCTTTACAAAAAAAAATTGTTCGTGAGTCTTCTTATGTCTACACTCCACAACAAAATGTAGTAGTAGAACGGAAAAATAGCCACTAGCTTACTAGTACCTATGTTTTTTTGTTTCAAAACCATGGACAATATTACTGGAGGGAAGCTGTGGTAATTACCACCTACCTTATAAACCGGTTACCATCTCGAGTACTAGAATTTCCTAGTTCTATGGAAGTTCTCGTTACCTTTTTGTTTTTCTGGAAATTGTGGATCCTTTGGAATCCTTAAATAAATCATCGACGTTAGATCAAAATAACATTGAATTAGTCTTAAGACTATTCATAATGAAGGCTTATTTTTCATTTGGTTTCCGATAAAATAAAATCATGTGACTGCCTCGGGTCTACCATATAAGACATTCCCATATTTCCTTTCATTTCCTTTGCCTTACTCAAAGACCAAGTAAAAACAACAAAATGGCTTGTTCAATTTTTTCTTGTTAAAAAAAAAAAAAACAGAGAGAGAGAGAGAGAGAGAAAGAAAAAATCAATTCACATATTATCGATTAAATTGATATGCAAAGCCGAGTTCCAGATAAGCACATACTGTTTCTGGAATCCAAAACCGAATCGTCATCTCTGTCTCGCCTCTGAGACGGGGCGGCCACTGAGACAGCAACAGACATCTCACTTTCTGGAACTTTCCGACGAGATTGACGTTGAGATTTACGGCGGGATCCAGCGATGCGGGAGAAGGACCGCCGTCGGAGGCGAGAGCGTGTAGCGTGGAAGGAAACGAAGGACAAAATGGGGATTCGAGAAGGTAAAGATAGTAACAGAAGGTGAGTGGTAGCCATTAAAATAATTGCTCTATCGGCTCATAAATTTGGAGTCGTAGTGTGTTTATTACGAAACTACACAGTACGAAAAATTGAAGAAAATCACTTTATTTTTCATTTTAAATTGTTTATTGAATAATAAAATTTCAATTCTTATTTTACTTCATAAAAAATTATAAATATTCAAGAAACTAAATATATTTATAACATCATTTTTTCTCATATTTTGTTTATATAGATCCCATTTTACTTACCAATAATTTTCATTAATCTAAATTTCTGTAAAGGCCAATCACTTAATTAAATTTATAGTATTGTATTGGAGCAAGAGTTTAGAATTTCGAATTTTGTTAATAATATTTCTCTTAATTTATAAATTAAGTCAAACTTATCATTAATTTACATTTTAATCTTAAATAAAATATGATAAAGTTTGTCATCTTAGAATTTATAATCTAATTACTTTTTTTTTTCTTTATTGTTATATCAATTTTAATAATAACTACTTGAACGATCGTTATAACTTACAAAAATTTAAATTATTATTATACCAAGTGTGCTCGATATTTTTTTTAATTAATATTTATGTGTTTTTTATGTAAATGTAATTAATAAATTATGTGATGTTTATCATCTATCATATAATATTTAATAGATGTATTTTAATTAAATTATACGGAATATTCATCTGCCTAATGTAAATACAATTTTTGACTGCATACTCTACACTTATTTTTAGTCTGTCACTTTGTATATTTCATTTATGAAGATATAATATATTCAATAACATAAAATTTTTATTTATTTTTAAAATAAATATTTTCTTTGATTATGTTGGTGCTTCTATATTGCTCACTTTTACTTACACTATTTATCTTTAATATTAATAAATTAATTTTTATATATTTTTAAATAAATATTTTATTTGATTGCATTGGACTTTTTTTAATTTTATATGCATCAATAATTTCTACTTACACTATTTATTTATAATTCCATCATAAAATTTATAAATAAAAAATACTAAAATACCTTATTTCACTATTAACTTTCGAAAAATATTCAAATTATATTATAAATTTTTTTATTTAAAAAATTGACCTCTAACTTTTAAAAATATTCAAATTATACCAGTAACTATTATTGTGTATTTTCTGACATGTATAAGTAGATATCACGTAATCACACGTGACACCCACGTTTAACAACTTAATATATCAAACGTGACCCCAAACTCCATCTAGCACCCACTTATTTTCATTGCGATGTTACAGAGGAGTGAAGTTATTTCTATCCCTTCCTTCGTGCCATGAAGTTCTATAAATTCCTACCAACATCTTCAGAAATCAACTAAAGCTAAAAGAAAAAAGTTATTAAGTCTATCAATATCATATTTTGCTTAGAAAAATAGAGACAAGTGACAGAGGGAAAGAA